TACCTGTAGCATGAGGACTTTTATGATAATTTCTGAGCTTAAAAATTTGTGAATCTGTTCAGCAAAGTGTTTGACTGCACTGCATATCAAATGACTAAAAATAATACAAAATAATATAACTAAAGCAGTCTCCACTGTGCTAAGAGCGCTTCTCTTCCTGTTAAACTGAACAGTCACATCATCGATGATGTAAGTGTGCTCAGGTCCAGTAGGTAAAAATGCAATGTGAGTACAGGCCGAGCGGGAGAGGGGATAGTGGACAATCACGGTTGGCACGTTTCAAGGCATACCTAATGTGAGTATGCCCTAAACCACACTGAACTGAACTAAACTGAACTTCAACTCTGAAAACTGGACTGACAGCTTAAATTTACTAGAACTTCTATGTTAAGCAGCTTTGACACAATTTAGATTGTAAAAATGCTATAGAAATGAAGATTAATTGAATTTGCATGACTTGATTTGCCATCTCCACCTTAACACTGCCCCCTCCCAATAACATATACACAGGATAACTCTGCTCAATTTAAACTTGTGTAGACTAAATTAGACTCATGCAGACTCACATAGATTTCTTAAAGATGCTGTTTGACTGCATCACAACCTGAACAAAAAATTATGCTTGTAACAATCGTCAGGGGTGCCACACCAAAGACCTCAGCTATCTTGTCAGCCACATCCAAAGTGTGCTGCCTTCTTTGAGGACTTTTATTCATTCATTAATTTGCTGCCTAGTCCCTTTATTAATCTGGGGTCGCCACAGCGGAATGAACCATCAACATATCCAGCATATGTTTTACGCAGGGGATGCCCTTCCAGCCACAACTTATCACTGGGAAACCCATACACTGGCTGTTTCTCAATATGCGTTCTTCAGCGGTCTTGCGTCCTCGTGTTCTCGTGCAACGTCATCATCAGCTGCCTAAGTTCAGTTCCAATACTCAAGACCGCAAGTATGGAGGACGCGTGAAACTTCCCGGATATGATCTTGATATCGAGGACGCACTGATGCAAACTTGAGCACCGAACTTGCTCTGGAAGTCCCAGAAGTCATTGCGACTGGAGGTGGGAAGCGCAGCATTTTATTTAGATTTATTCTTAAAGTTCAGAGATATAACTTATTTACCTCAGGAGTTTCCCTAAATGAAACGGTGAAAGTAAACATTAACATAAATATCTTAATAAAGGAATAAACACAATAAGGGTTGTTTGTTTGCTGAAATTCATATTAAAATTTGATTTATTTATATTATGCAGAGTATATTTATAATGTTTTTATGCAAAGTATATATTTTGAAGAGGGGGAAAACAATAAATCGGTGTATGAAGGCTGTAATGTTTAAATAATTTCCATTTAAAACATATGAAGGTCACGTGACCATCAGGAAGAACGCAGCATCCCATTTCTCAAAGGACGCGTTCTCTGCCCTCGCGGTCTCGTGAGTTAGTTCTTCCGAGGACACCTGGCAAGACCGGTCTCCACAAGAATGCAAGTCCGTTCTCTGCGTTCTTGGAATTGAGAAACAGCCACTGTCACTCTCATTCACACACATACACTAAGGACAATTTAGCTTACCCAATTAACCTTTGGACTGTGGGGGAAATTGGAGCACCTGGAGATAACCCACGTGAATGCAGGGAGAACATGCAAACTCCACACAGGGAGAACATGCAAACTCCACACAGGAATGCCAGCTGACCCAGCTGAGGCTTGAGCCAGCGACCTTCTTGCTGTAAGGCGACAGTACTACCTACTGCACCACCACGTCACCCCGAGGACTTTTATATTGAAATAATTTTATATTGGTACACTGCCAACTTGTAGTTATTCAAGTTTTTGTCTTCAGTTCAAGCAGGAAGTCTTCTAGAGTACATGGTTGCATTATGGTGCATCAGATATTGTTTCTGGCATGCTATTCCTGAGGAATTATTTGTTCATCAATATACAGGCTGACAATCTTGCACATTAATAACAGCTAAGTACTTCAATACATAAATAATACTTCAAGAGTTGTTTTGTGAACATATAAACTACTTGTCTGTAAACTAGGTCTCACTATTTATCAGTACTGTATTGCAGTGCCTTAGATATATTTTGTTTGTGTATTTTGTCTGATCTTTTGCCTAGAAAATAGCAACATTTACTTTTACGTTAGTTATAGCTATAATAGTTATAGCTCTACTATAAAAGATCTGAGTGTCATATTAGACAGCATACATCCCATGTCAAAAAAATGCCTTCTTTCATCTGAAAAATATTGCAAAGTAACGAAGTATGCAATCCATCTCAGATGCAGAAAAGCTAGTCCATGCTTTTATGACTTTAAGACTGGATAACTAATGCTCTGTTTGCTGGCTGCCCAGCATCCTCTATTAACGAACTTCAGCTAGTACAAAATGCAGCAGCCAGAGTTCTTACCAGCACTAGAAAATATGATCATATCACCCCAATTTTATCCTCCTTACACTGGCTGCCTGTTCAGTTTCGTATTGAATTTAAGGTAACACTTTACAATAACAGTATACATGAATAATGATGTATTAATATGTAAACTAAACATTACTTTATTATGAATTAATGATGAGTTAAGGTATGCACTAATTATGAATTAACTTTAACTACAACATGATTCACATGAGTTCATGTGTGAATAATGGCTACCTTAATTACTTGTTAGTTCATGATTGTTTGTTAATGTATTAATTACCACATTAGTTTATGCTTAATTTAACCATGATGAACTCATGATATGTTAATGTATAATTATGTTGTGACTTTACTTGGAGGGCAGATCATCATTAACCGATTCTTAACTACTTATGAACTCCTCATGCACGTCCAACTAGTGAGTTTACACTGAATAACAATAGAAAAGTGTTCTGTCAACATCAACATAAACAGGAGTTCATAAGTAGTTAAGGATGAGTTAATAGTGATGTGCCCCTCCAAGTAAAGTCATGACATAACTATACATTAACAGCTCATGAGTTCATGTTGCTTACATTTAGCCTAAACTTAAATTTTAATTAATACATTAATTAACAACATGTACTAACAAGTAATTAAGGTAGTCGTTATTCACACATGAACTTATGTGACTCGTGTTGTACTTAAAGTTAATTCATGATTAGTGCATACCTTAACTCATCATTAATTCATAACAAAGTAATGTTTAGTTTACATATTAATACATCATTATTCATGTACTGTTATTGTAAAGTGTTACCGAATTTAAATATAGCTTCTTACCTATAAAGCTCTAAATAATCTAGCTCCTGTTTATCTAACCAATCTTCTGTCTAATCAATCCAACCCGCATGAGTTGGCATGGCCTGTACAAATATACAGATAAACCAATTAATAAAATAAAACACACACTGCAGAACATAAGCATGCTCATGTACATACATGTTTTGTGATTACCTCTGGGAGGAGACATCCACAAATGAACTCCACCTCATCATTGAAGGTCAGCTGTGTTTTGGTTTTATTAAGAATTCCTCTGATGTAGTCACAAATGATTGACTGGGACTGCTCATTCTTAATGTAGACAGGCACTTGAGAACGGGGTTTTAGTGGAAACCAATTTGACCTTTTCCCACCGAGTATATCCTTTGGGCCATAGAAGGAAATTATATTTCATATGTAAATGCACAAGTAATTAATTATATTTGGCAAATAATAGTTAAATTGTCACTTGACTATATTTAAGTCAACCATACTCAGAGTCTAGAGGAGTAATTTAAAGTGGAACCATCTGTACCACCAAATGCTGCTCTGCTGATTTTGATGTGATAATCAAGTCCACTAATCTTTTGTCATTCCTTTCCCGATCTTGAACTGCTTGGACATGTGCTGGAAGATTGGATGTGGTTTTTCTTTTCACCCTAAAAAGGGGCAGAATCTTTCCATCCAAGACACTTCTTGCCTCCTCAGTCCAGAAAGCAAATCTGTGCCCATACTGTAGCTTTTAATAACAAGACAAGACAAAATCCATAACAACTGGTCACCGGTAAGAGAGATTTTAAGTATGTTTTGTTATTCATGTTACAAGTTGTTGTATTGACACAATATAAATTTTAAATTTTACAGATTTACAAGAAAAAAAAAAAAATACTGACATACCCATCAATTTGAAATTGTTCCATGAGTAGAAGGCACCACCACTGACGGATGATAGGCATGTCCATCTGAAAGAAAGACTGTTTAGTCTGACAGTTAACCAACATGTTTTTGTTAATACATGATGTTGGGTGTGCTTGCAATAACCATGCCCCTTTTTTTAAAAGATATGTTGCTTAGAAGAAAGCAAGATAATATACACTAAAATAGTTACATTTTAGCTATGATTAAGAAAAGCACCAACAAAATAAAGTTACATAAATAATAAAATAATACCTCCTGGAATTGAAACCCAATGCCACACACCATTGAGAGGGTGTACTGAAAAGAGAGAAGCCACAGTCATTTACAATGTTTACAAAATCTTTAAATCAATTAACTCAATTTATATCTTACCATGAGTACAAAAACACCACAATCATTCCCTCTTGTCTGACGTGGCAACGCCTAAAATAGGCAAAGCAAATCAATTTTATTTTAGAATAATGTACAAAAAGTTTAATTGTTGTAAAAGCCAAATAATATATTTTTTTTTAAAGTTGATTCCTCACTGAAAAATCATATCCAGTCTTTTCAGTCCATGTCCCATGATCCACTTGGTAAGCAATTTTCCTGTAAACTAAACATATTAGTAGTAATACTAACAATTACAGCTCACCTCAACTCTAGAACACCATGCATATAAAAGGCTAGAAGAACATAGCCAGAAGTTCAAGAAACGGCTATAGAAACGTAGCCAAAAGTGACAGAACTATAATACACGGTTAGGAAATAAATAGAAATGGCTATAGGAACGTAGCCATATATCACATAAAGGCTGACCTAAGACCTAAAAATTGCCCTGTATTCCTCATCTCCAAATCCTGATTAATGCTCTGCGTACAGAGAGTCTAAAAACACCATCTCTCTTCGAAGCGGCATCATTATCTACAATGTTAAAGGTGTAAAAATATTTCATTTGAACATTATTGCTTCTTCCAAGATTTTTCAGTGTTTTATTTTAGAAACACACACATTGCAATACCAATCAATGTATGCACTAGACATTTCAATATTTTCTTACACAGACAACAAAGTGGTCTGATCCATTGGCATTTGTCCATGCTGGAAAGGTTAACAGGTCTTTCAAGTCTGCATCTTCCTAGAATTGATCAGGACAGTTATGTCGTTTAATTTAGGTTGTACTTCTCACACAGTAAATACAGTACATACACGCACCGGTAATCCAGTAACAATGTTGTTAGGAGTTTCTTTCCACACAGGGACAACATAAAAGTCCTCAATGTATATGTCCTTGCCCTACATGAATAAAAAGAAACTGTTGACAATGACATGAACATTTTCACACAGTTTAGATTTTTTTTTTTTTTAAATTTGGATCAAGTTAAAACAATGTATATAAATATTATGTTTTATAGTACATACAATTTGTCGAGCCATTTCACAAAGAAGCTTCATGCAGGCGTTTCCAATCTGCAATAAATACTTTGATAAGTCAATGTTTTTAATAAAAAAAAAGTTATAATAAAAAAACAGACTGCTTACATGGGAGTCCATGTCCCTCAACAATCCAAGGCTCCAAAATTCTTCTCGAATAAGGCACATTTGCCCCTCCTTCACAATTATTTCACTGCCAGGGCAATTTCGGTCCAGCACATAATCAAGCTGTAATAATAATAACAATAAATATGTGTGTGTGTGTGTGTGTGTGTGTGTGTGTGTGTGTGTGTGTGTGTGTGTGCGTTTGTATGTAATGGTAATTGTTCACCAGTTTCTCTTGTAATAGATGCCAGTCCCTCTCCCAAGGCTTAGTAGGTTTCAAAAAATTCAGAAGAGTGGTAGGTTCACAAGCTGTTTTTTCTGTAATTGGTACTGATGACAGAGGAGATGTGAGTGATGTTATGCCTGGTGATGCAGCGGTCGTTTGTAAAGTCACAATATTTTCTGGCAGTGCTGTCAGTGGTCCTTAGAGTACATTAAAGCATCAAAATTAGAAAATAACACATAATAATTAGAGAACAGAAACTTGACACTGAGCAACTGGAAAGAACAGTCAAATTACCAAGTGACATGTCCATGCATTTCTCTGTGGAGGATGGATTTTCTATAAATACAAATATACACATAAGTACAGTTATGGATATAGTGATGTATTTGTTACAAAGTAAGGGAAACATTACCTAACACAACCTGGCTACGGTCATTCATGTGAATGTTTTTGTTGAATTCCTTTTTTATGTCATGAAGACGTTTCTCGTTTTTTCTGACATTGTAATGGTGGAAGATGTTTCGCATGAGGAAAACATGTGTGGATGGCAATGCCATGTTCATAAAGTAGTTATTTTTCTTTAGCTTTGAAAAAAGCTGTTCTGCAGCCTGACTGTTAACTTTGCCAGCTAGTTGAGGCACAAGACGAAGCTTCCTCAGTGAATCACGAGGATCTTTTGTGTTGTCTTCGTGAAAGCGGTCATACAGAACATAGTGTTCTGCAGAACCAGTTATTGGATGACCATGCGGATCTGGCTTTTTTGCAGTTGTAATTTTCCTGATTTTGCTTTTGCAATATTTTCAGTGGTTGGTTCGAGTAACCTTCCCTCGAAAGGTGTGAAAGTTATGGGTTGCCTTAAATTTGTGTGGGTGGACAGTCCACGGGCAAAGGCATAAATAACAACATTAGGCAGATGCTTCCAAGACAGAAGCATATCTGCAAAATCCCGTGGACTTTCTGCTCGCAGATTACATTTTATACTGTAAACTATGCCACAAGGACACATGATGACAGCCCAACCTCCTGGAACAGACAAAAAAGATAAGCAAATAGTTAAGAAAACATAATCAAATCCCATTAATGACATTGCGACTTAAATGACCATAGGTTATGATGGAGGGCAGTGGCATTAACCTTAACAAAGTATACTTTTAAAAAATTTAAAGATGGAGTGCCTCAGAGATGTAAATACACTCCCCCACACGGAAAGCATCAATACACCCTGGTGTCAGACGAGGCCACCTCCAACACCCCCCAGAGCTGTACACCACCAGTCACTCCCCAATCAGTGCCAAGCAGAAAACAGGACCCATTATGTCTATGTGACTTTGTACATTTCTGATTTATTTGTAATATTTTAATGTGCAACATTGAGGTTTACCTGAAGCAGCCCAAATCTTTTCAAAAACCTTGTCATAGGCCTGCCTTGATCTCATCTCCTCCGAAAGTCGCAGGAGTAGATCTGTGCGAGAGCCTTTGGCATCTAAACCACACTCTTGACACAGTCTTCTTATCACTCCCACCTATCACATAAAAAAACACATGTTAAATGAAATGCCAACACTGACAAATAATACATATAATTAGCATTAAATATTTTACTTTCTGTTTTGAAAGTACGTCCTTTAAGCGATCTTCAGAGACAGTTATTTCTGTTCGTTCTGCAGTTTTTGCTTTGTGCACTTTCTCAAATTCAGTGTTGAGAACAACATTCGCTATGCGAGTCTTACTCCCGATCCAGGGTGCCCAAAAGTTGTAACTAGGTGTAACACAAAATGGAATGTTTTTTTGACCTTTAGGACAAACAAACATGTTAGTACATTAGTGGATTTAGATTGCACTCCTGAAAACACTTATGAAAATAAATAATGATGACAAGCCATTCCTGATATAATAAATTTATATTCGAGCAATTCGTTCTTCTGTCAGTGCCTTCCAAAACATATCTAAATCCACCTCTCCATTAAAATCTTGTGGAGGCTGTGAAAGATCACTCACTAAGTGTGGTTTATTCATAAACTAATTTCGAGAGGATCACGTGCTTATAATAAACACGGCTGGCTCCTTGTTAGCTCCGTAATCAGCCCTATTAGATGATTACGGAAGCATTATAAATAACCTGAGTTTTCCACTCCAGTTATCTTCGTCTTGAAGCTCGCTTCCCGCTACAAAACGCTCCAGCATCGCACCATTTAACCTATCGATACGGAAGAACACACAACAACAACAACAACAACAACAACAACAACAACAAACAACAACTCCAGCCAGAGCTCCACTCTCCCTGAGAATTCAGCCGTAGCCTCGCCAAAATCGAGCCTGAATTCCCGCAAAAACGCCGGTGCTGCCCACCAGCTCTTCCATCTCCACTTCAAACTGCCTCACGCAAACGCAGTCCACAACTCCACCTAAACTCTCTAGGCGTCGACGATCCAAAACATCGCAAAAGCCTAACTCACTGCTTCCTAGCGGTGCACCCTCGGTAACGTATAGTACGCTTTTAAGGGGAAGCATCGCGGAAACAACTAATCTCCATCAAAGACTAAACCTATTTACAAATCTTTTAAAAACAAGACTTGCGTGATTAGAAGATTCATAAGAACTCACCCTTCAAGCCCGTCCACAAATCCATAAGTAAATCACTGCAAAGATCACGACATTAATCCACGACATATTGATACATCGATGGACCGCGCTGTTATTATCCAAACTAGTCGCTGGTGTGCCGCAGTGTCTTCACACAACACTGGTAAACAAACTTGGCCTCCGATCTTGATTGACGCCCCATCGAGCCAATAGCGAAGGAGCAGCGCCCTCATCCAATGCGCTTTTAAAACTCGATATGGTTCCGCCCTCTCAACAATTCATGAATGAACCCAGCCATAAAAGACTCGTGAATGAACTGAGACAGACATGCTTGCGAATTAAGTTAAGATTAAGAATTTTAGAAGTTAAGATTCCTAACATGTATTTAAACAAATTAAGTAAAGCCCATAACTAACATTCCATTCATACAGTTTCCACTAAGTAGTGTATTAAGCGTTTGATGTTGGGATTTGATATAATAAATAAATAAATTGACAAATAATAATAATGATAAATGAATGAATTAATAATAATAATAATAATAAATAATAATAAATAAAATAAATAAAAACCTCTGCCAGATATGATAGCATTTAACTTCTGTAAAGACTACTACCCAACCAGTGAGAATTTAACACAAAGTCCAATCGTAATACGTCAATGACCCATACTTGCATATACAGTGCCATATGTAACTTATAATGGCACGCCAGCTGGAGGTGAAAATGGTAAAGAAACTAACTTTTCGCTTGACTGCATGAATAGGACATATAAATAAATCTTCAAGAAGAATTTCTAGGACCACCAGACAAGCTACACCCCATATCCCCAGCTCTGCATCCACCTGCTATCCTGTGGGGGAACAAATGCCCACCTCGATCATCCTCGCAAACTGCGACAACGAAGCTCACAATTGTCCATGCTCTTATTAAGATGCCTTGCATTAGATATCAGCTAAAACAATTTTGTCATGTTTGCTACACATGTATCATGTTGTAAATTAAATTTCTGATTTTTTTTTCTTGTTTCTCATTCCAGACATTAGGACAGCCGGCCCAGAAGCTGACCTTCATCCAATCTATTACACTCCACACCCATTCCAAATGCAATCACCATCTACACAAGGATGCATTTCCAATCATACAGCCCACATCCACAATGCCATATTCACATTAGTCTTCGGGTTTTGAGATTCTCTGAATTACCATCAGTTGCAATCCCACAATCCACCTCACCATATCTGATCTGACTGGAGGAACACTATCTCTCTCCATTAAGCAAGCAAACCGATTATTTCGGCAAAGCATGTCCTATATACATTTTTCGACATCCCTTCCCCCACTCACACAATTCAAATGTTTTAAGTGTAAGCACAACTTAAACTATCCCATACACCCATACATTTTCACTCACCACAGTTCCAACTTATTTAGGGGTTGCCTAAATTTTTCTATTACTGCAGCAGGGATGCTCTAAGCAAGCTCTATACACTTACAAGTCCAATAACACTCGTCACACTGCCCTGCACTAATACAGCAGTAAATGCTTCTGCAGGAGCACACATTGTCTCCATACTGATCCTCTGCAGCAGCAGAATCGCTCCACTGTGCCATACTCACCCATTGCACCTGTAGCTAAGCCCTCATTCACTTCCTCTCTACATATCACTACTAACAGTATTTATATTCTTGCTAGAGCATTCAAAACTCTCCAATACCGATCACTACTGCACCTATCCAATAGCAGTAGCGCTCCGCTGAGCTTCACTCACCATAGCATCACAACAACCGCAGTGACACTCTACCTGAGCCCCTACTTACTTTCATCTCCACACATCACTTCTGATATTTAATATTTTTGTGGGAGCACCTATAATGCTCCAATTCTGATTACCACCGTACCTGCAACAGCAGAGATGCTCAGCCAAGCCTTATTCTCCCATTGCACCACTGTCACAGCGCAGCTCCTTTCCTTCCCACTCCCCAACACTGCACAGCAGTTATACATTTTCGGGAAAGCGTACCCGCCTCCCGACATTGACTTCCACCACACCTCTGCAACAGCAGAGAAGCTGCAGAGCTTCTTTTCCCCCCCGCTTCACTGTCGCAGCAGTGACGCTCTGCCTGAGCTCACATACACTTCCATTCAACATACCACTATTGACACTTCACAACAGTTTAAACGCCTCCATAAAAGCGTTTACTCGTTATTATCGTCTAGCCCAATTACACGTAACAGCCTCAGCGTGATGCATGTATACATTTGGAGAGGATATCAATTCATTCTCACAGCTCGCACTCACGACATCCACTATCTTGAATACAAGGACTGAAATTTAATTCTGCCTGTTCCCCCCCCCCCCCCTTTCAGCGCTCCCAGTTCAGCAAATAATCTCCCCCTATCTCTCTCCCAAGAGTGCCTGAACCCCGACCCCAACAGGAGCAAAACTTTTTTCCCCAAGGCTACCAGTATAAAATCTTTTCAGTCTTCACTTCCTTCCTGCGTCAAGTTTCTCCGCACCTCCTTCTTCTCCTTTCTAGCGTTGAGTTCCTCCGCACCTCCTTTCCTTCCTTCAAGCGTCAAATGCTTCCGCTCTTTCCTCCATCCCCTCCCACTCTCCCCCCACCACCTCAACATCTTTTACTCCCTACCCCTTTCCAGCGTCGAGTTTCTCGGCTACTTTTCTCTTTTCAGCGTCAAGTTGCTCCGCTACTATCTCTTCCTTCTAGTGTTGTTCTTCCGCTACTCTCATCTCTTCAGCCTAAGTATCACCATTCAAGGCCTGACTCCCCCGGAGTCAATCAATTACCCCAAACCCCCCCCCCCCCCCCTCCACAATCGACAACTTTCTTGTTTTCTAGCGTTGAGTTCCTCCGCATCTCCTATTCTATGTTCTAAAGCGTTGAGTTCCTCCGCACCTCCTTTCCTTCCTTCAAGCGTCGAATGCTTCCGCTCTTTCCTCCATCCCCTCCCACTCTCCCCCCACCACCTCAACATCTTTTACTCCCTACCCCCTTTCCAGCGTCGAGTTTCTCTGCTACTTTTCTCTTTTCAGCGTCGAGTTGCTCCGCTACTATCTTTTCCTTCTAGTGTTGTTCTTCCGCTACTCTCATCTCTTCAGCCTAAGTATCACCATTCAAGGCCTGACTCCCCCGGAGTCAATCATTTACCCCAAACCCCCCCCCCTCCACAATCGACAACTTTCTTGTTTTCTAGCGTTGAGTTCCTCCGCATCTCCTATTCTATGTTCTAAAGCGTTGAGTTCCTCCGCACCTCCTTTCCTTCCTTCAAGCGTCGAATGCTTCCGCTCTTTCCTCCATCCCCTTCCACTCTCCCCCCACCTCCTCAATATCTTTTACTCCCTACCCCCTTTCCAGCGTCGAGTTTCTCCGCTTTTCTTTTTCAGCGTTGAGTTGCTCCGCTACTATCACTTCCTTCTAGCGTTGAGTATTCCGCTACTCTTACCTTTCCAGTCTAAGCTTAGACTCCCCCGGAGTCCTGCCCAGCCCACCTCCTATAGGAGTCTCCACCACCCCCTCCCCATTTAGACTCCTGTAGGAGCCTAATCTTTCAGCTCTAACTCCCACGGAGTTACCCCAAGAGCTAAGACTGCCACGGAGTCCCCCCTCCCCTCTCTCTCTCGCCCCGGCCAAATACGCATCTTTCCTACCTTCTAGCGTTGAGTTCCTCCGCATCTCCTGTCCTATATTCCCTAGCGTTGAGTTCCTCCGCATCTCTTTCTCTTCCTTCCAGCGTCGAATGCTTCCGCTCTTTCCTCTCCCCCCTCTTACAACTTCTCTCCTCTCCCCACCGTTAACTCCCAATCCCCCTTTCAGCGTTGAGTTTCTCCGCTACTTTCTTTCTTCAGCGTTGAGTTTCTCCGCTACTTTACTATTTTCAGCATTGAGTTCCTCCGCTACTCTTTCTATATTTCAAAAACATCACTCACCAATCTGACTCCCAAGGAGTCTTCCCACGTTCTGACTCCCCCGGAGTCCTGCTCAGCCCACCACCTACAGGAGTCTCCACCTCTCCCTCCCTTCCCAGACTCCTGTAGTAGTCCAATCCTACAGCTCTAACTCCCACGGAGTTGACCCAGAGCTCTGATCCCCATAGGTTTCTTTTCTTTACCTTTCCAGCGTCGAGTTCCTCCGCATCTCATGCTCTCTTCTTCCCAGCGTTGAGTTCCTCCGCATCCTCTTTACTTCCTTCCAGCGTCGAATGCTTCCGCTCTTCTCTCCACCCCCTCTACAACCCCTCTCCCCTACCCACTACATTCCCCTTTCCCAGCGTTGAGTTCCTCCGCTACTTTTCTTCTTTCAGCGTTGAGTTACTCCGCTACTTTCCTATTTCTAGCACCAAATCCCTCTGCTACTCTCCTTTCTTCCGTTAAGCTCCCCAACCCTGCCTCCCCGAACCCAACTCCAACAGAGTCCCCAGCCTCTCCTAAGAATCAGTTTCAACTTTCTCCTGCAGTAACCTATCTCACTTCAATTGACATTCAGCAGCCGGATATGGCACTGACCTCTCGCCTTTTGGGGGGCACTTCAATACGCGGCTGCTGTCCCGAGATGAAAACCTTTGCCTTTTGGGGAGTTCTCGAGACCTACCTGACCTCGAATTCCCCTCTCGCCCTTCTAACGGGAGGGAGCCCCGGGCTCGAGGATATTACGAGCTCAGGGCTCTCTCCCGGGACAGCATGCCAAATACGCTTTATTGATTATCAGCTAAGTGTGAACTCTTGAAGTGTGGTTTATTCATAAACTAATTTCGAGAGGATCACGTGCTTATAATAAACACGGCTGGCTCCTTGTTAGCTCCGTAATCAGCCCTATTAGATGATTACGGAAGCATTATAAATAACCTGAGTTTTCCACTCCAGTTATCTTCGTCTTGAAGCTCCCCCCCTTCCACCCCTACATCCTCCCACTTTTTCTGATCGGGCGCCACGGTGGCCCAGTGGCTAGCACTGTTGCCTCACAGCAAGAACACCGCTAGTCCAACCCATCGGGCTGGTTGGTGTTTCTGTGTGGAGTTTGCATGTTCTCCCCGTGTTCGCGTGGGTTTTCCCCGGGTTCCCCGGTTTCCTCCCACCGTCCAAAAACATAAACCATAGCAATCGACTAAAACAAATTATCACCTAATACAACCTGAGTTTACACTTCTCACGGTGACAAGCAGGGGAGTTCTCGAGACCTACCTGACCTCGAATTCCCCTCTCGCCCTTCTAACGGGAGGGAGCCCCGGGCTCGAGGATATTACGAGCTCAGGGCTCTCTCCCGGGACAGCATGCCAAATACGCTTTATTGATTATCAGCTAAGTGTGAACTCTTGAAAGAAAATAAATACATACTATAAACTTACTAATAGTTTTACTAATAAGACTTACCTCTCTGCAGTAAAAAGGAAAGATATTTACCAGATAGATGAAAGGATGCCTTCTTGTGGAGGTCCATTATGACCACAGGTGGATGGTCACCACAAGATACACATGAATACTCGTATTCATGGTCAGTTAGGGCCTCAAAATGCAGATAGCCGTGGAGAAGAGTAACTGCTGAGGGGAAAACCTGTAGTTACCTCCAAGTACTCCACTACTCTGCTGACTGCTGTATGCACCTATGGTAAAGAAATCACAGTTAATCAGTACTTATATAGGCAAGGCAAGGCAAGTTTATTTATATAGCACATTTCATTCACAATAGTATTTCAAAGTGCTTTACATAAACAAGAATAAAAGAGACAAGTATAAGTAAATAAAAACAAAGAATAAAAATGATTTAAAAAACAGTTAAAAACATAATAGTGTGAACTGTCGGACGTAGCACAGTGCTCATTCAGTAAAGACACAGCTAAACAGATGTGTTTTAAGTCTTGATTTGATGGTGCCTAATGTTGCCTAACGTAAAATCAACACTATGAAGAAATCCTATTGTTGTAAAAAATAATATATTGTATAACATATAATATATGTATTGTATAACGATTACCTGCAACAGGTTTCTTATGGTGAGGCAGAGAGAGAGTTCAAGGAGGACATGGTCATTGAAGTTATGCAAACCATTAGCCCACTCTTGGTAACGGTACACCATTCCACAGAAAGGACAAAATTTTTAATGGGTTGAAATATCTGCAGATACAGAATGTAAAATAAATGGTTTAGTATCTTTTTCATACTTAAAATAAAATAAAATATGTAAGTAACAATTATCCACCTTGGACAATTCCTGTAGTTGTAAGAATTTTCGCTTTACGTGTAATGCAGACAGGATCACTGAGCAATGTGCGGTCTGAGCAGTGGTAGCACATTGTCTCATCAGGGATTAGGTGTTTTGGAAAGTCCTTATAGTCTGAAGAAAGCCTCAAATGACTGGGAATAGTAGATGGTAGCTTTTTATTCATTAAGATGTATTCTACCATGCTCTTTACTTTAGTAATGTCCTTTGGAGGGTAATTCTCACTTTCATCACTTTCCTCCATCGCTGCTGCCTGAAATTCTTCAGCGCTTTCAGTGCTCCGCACTTTTCGGAAGAGTTCAGGGTGAATTTGAAAGAGGTGCCATTTTGCTATGCATTTATGGGTACATGATCTCTGGGTTTTTGCACAGGGACAGTGCCATGAATACTTCTTGGTGTAATATGATACCATGACTCTGCCCAGTCTACTATAATATGATATATTAGGCTCGTAGACCGATATGAACCTTTTTGTTGGTGGGACTCCAATCTTGGATTCAACTGACAGTGGTGCATTTTCTTCTTGGGCTAGTTTTTGACGATTTACACACTGTTTTATTTTGTCCTGCCCAAACCACTTGCTTTTAACCATTTCTTTTAAACTTTCTTCTGTGAGTGAAGGTGAGGTTAAAAATGTTTTGCAGTATGAAACTGACCGGAGGTGAACACATTGGTATGACAGCAGTCCACTTCTCCAAGCCAACTCCATATTAGTCTGGCACTCATTTAATTCACATGAAACACGATGTGGTTCCCCCCATATTTTTATTTGCACATGGAGTGGAGTAGAAGCTCCATGAAAACTTTTGTGGACCATATAGACTCCATTCTGAGGGTCTATGCACTCACTGTTAAGATGAGATGAGGAAGTGATGTCTATCATTTTTGGGGTGTGTTTACGTTCTATATGTCTTTTTAAATTTTTATAGTGGCATATCAAATCACATTTGGGACATTTCTTTAGTTCCTTTGGTTTTTTCCGACAATTTTTTTTAAGGGCCTAGAAATGCCAGAAGTGGTGGGCAGAGCCGTGTCAGTGGATAGAGGCACATGTGTGGCGGGCAGAGCCGTGGCAGTGGAGAGAGGCACATGTATGGCGGGCAGAGCCGTGTCAGTGGAGAGAGGCACATGTGTGGCGGGCAGAGCCGTGGCAGTGGATAGAGGCACATGTGTGGCGGGCAGAGCCGTGGCAGTGGAGAGAGGCACATGTGTGGCGGGCAGAGCCGTGTCAGTGGAGAGAGGCACATGTGTGGCGGGCAGAGCCGTGTCACTGGAGAGAGGCACATGTGTGGCGGGCAGAGCCGTGTCAGTGGAGAAAGGCACATGTGTGGCGGGCAGAGCCGTGTCAGTGGAGAGAGGCACATGTGTGGCGGGCAGAGCCGTGTCAGTGGAGAGAGGCACATGTGTGGCGGGCAGAGCCGTGTCAGTGGAGAGAGGCACATGTGTGGCGGGCAGAGCCGTGTCAGTGGAGAGAGGCACATGTGTGCCGGGCAGAGCCGTGTCAGTGGATAGAGGCACATGTTTGGCAGGCAGAGCTGTGGCAGTGGAGAGAGGCACATGTGTGGCGGGCAGAGCCGTGTCAGTGGAGAGAGGCACATGTGTGCCGGGCAGAGCCGTGTCAGTGGATAGAGGCACATGTTTGGCAGGCAGAGCTGTGGCAGTGGATAGAGGCACATGTGTGGCGGGCAGAGCTGTGGCAGTGGAGAGAGGCACATGTGTGGCGGGCAGAGCCGTGTCAGTGGAGAGAGGCACATGTGTGGCGGGCAGAGCCGTGGCAGTGGAGAGAGGCACATGTGTGGCGGGCAGAGCCGTGGCAGTGGAGAGAGGCACATGTGTGGCGGGCAGAGCCGTGGCAAAAGTTGTGGTGGCTTTAGTGTGAGGGGATGGTGGTTGTTGTTTTTGTTTGCAGAGTCCTAAATGTTTAACAAAATCAGGTTTTCTTAAAATGGTTGATTTGCAGAAGAGGCAGTGATAATGTGGCTGACTTCTGCAGAGGCGTCCACATCTGTGTATTGTAAATTCTGAAAAAAAAAGCAGTATAAGATTGCACTTTAAGTTTTCTTACAATTTTTCACTATAATAAGATGTACATTTTCAAATATTACCTTCATGCTGGACTGATCTATTAAAATGTGCCTGCAGATGTGATTGCACTTTTTTTAATCGTGTTGGTTGGAAAACCGAGGCGTCACAAAATGGACAATGAAAATATGTGCAGCATTTGGTGCACTGTACAGGTACTGGCAGAGACCCCCCTTTTTGAATTGTAATATCCATCTAGGAAAAAAATACACAAGTCACAAGCAAACTATATTTGTTTTAACCTAAGAGAGCTCACAATGTAAATGTTATGCAGATTAATTGATATTTTGATTTCCAGAGATCTTATTTACAATTGTTAACTGTTATTGTGTTACTGTTATTGTCTGTACCACTTTCAGATAGATAATACAGTAATACGTTGAGTAGACCTACATAGCACTTTAATATGTTACAATTAATAATTGCTTTATATACACAATACATTTTATTTTAACATTTTTACTTTAAAGTTTTTTATTTTGCCAGAAATCATTGCTAGAAAAGTGTCCCAGAATGGTACAATAACAGAAAATAAGAGCACGCTGTAAATATCATAAAATAATGCTATATTTTGACTAATTCAAATCAAACACTGAAATATTGTTTGTTAGTGTAATAAGATGTCACATTGATTTTTGCCATAAAACCTGCTAATTTCAAGAATCGCTTTAATAAAATGAATAACCTTACTCACTAGTCCGATGTTGCTACTTCCTAGAAAGTGCTGGTCTGAGCGTGGGTCTCGATACCTGCCGCTTCACCCAACCCAACAGCAGGTGGCACTGTCTGAGAAAATGATAGGTCTGGAAGTGCTGGTCTGAGCGTGCAGGTCTGATCGTGCATTTGGGTCTCCGGGCCTGCAGCCTCACCCTACTTGATAGAGCAGGGATTCTCAACCTGTGAGCCGCAGCCCACTAGTGGGCCTCAGTGATCCTACAGGTGGGCCACGAGATACAATATAATACTATATAATAATATAATTATCAATATAATACTATAATTTTTGGATTTCATTATTAATATGCCATATAAAATTAACGAAGTAATGCACTTTCTCCTGTTCTGTGATCGATTACTTCAAACTGGGCACAAAAACAGCCTCATGATCAGCCTGCAAGAGAGTGAGTTTGAGCCCCTCCTGTCAGTGATTGTTCCTGTAAACGAGCACACTCTGGAAGAAGAGATGTAAAATTCCGTTGATAACAAGTACTGAGGAGTTAACTTCTTGGTTATCAGTCACACAAAGTCACAGCTGTTATAGGTCAAAATTATATGAGGTTAAGCACATAAGGTTAAATGAAGATAAACACATCAGCAAAATTCATTCATTCATTTTCTTTTTGGCTTAGTCCCTTCATTACTCTGGGGTTGCCACAGCGGAATGAACCGCCAACTTATCCAGCATATTATGCAGAGGATGCCCTTCCAGATGCAACCCATCACTGGGAAACACTCATATACTTCCATTCACCCACATACAATACGGCCAATCTAGCTTACCCAATTCACCTATACCACATGTCTTTGGACTTTTGGGGAAAACCAGAGCACCCGGAGGAAACCCACGCGAACACGGGAGAACATGCAGACACATCAGCATAAGTTCATGTATTTAGTTATAAACAGAATTAAACTATTAATGCAAGGATTAGTCTATTAATGCATAGGATGAAGTTAAAACGGATAAAGTTAACTACACTCAGGAGAAAGGTAGATCTCCAGGAACAGGACTAGGCACCCCTGATCTAAACTAAGCTAAGCTAAAAGTGTTCCCACCAGACCATGTATATAATGATTTATAAAGGAATTTTGATGCTTTATTTTGTTATTTTATTTTCATTTACTAGTAGCAGGTTATTTAGGGCTGTATTTTTGACCATTCACATTCATTTGCACACCTTGGTGACAGTGTCAAAATGGCTGCTACAAAAAAAAAAAAAAAAAACATAGCAATCCCATTGTCTAGCAATGACGGCATACATGGCTGAAGAGACAGCGTGACATTTGATCAAATAATGTATAAATGCACATATACTATATATGTGTACATTTTTGACAACTAATTTTGTAATCCTATTTTGGCACTTTACAAAAAGTGATTTTATATACATTTTAAAAATTAAGTTATATGTTTACCAAGATATAAACACTTAATAATTAAACCTCATACTTGATCTGACCTGAACTTAGTAAAATATGTTTTAAAAGTAGTTAATGTAAAAAAAATATATATATATTTAACACCTTTAACATTTAAAACTTGCTGACAAAAGGTCAAAGGATATTTTTGAAGGATTAAAAAAAGGTTTAAAGGATGATTTTTTTTCTTCTGAAAAGTGACATTGGACAGTGTTCAGGAAAATGACATGATAGGCCAGGGTAACTTAACCTCTAATTGATACTGATGTTCACAGTTGACTCTAAAAAGCCACAATGTACTGTACGTACTTTTTGACACACACGTAACCAAGCTGTTAATAATTCACTTACGAATGATTACTTAGTCAGCAAGAAATCACTATAAAAGATCTGATTCTCAGATGAGTTTTTCACAAACCACCAGCCATGAGAGCTGTTGTGCTTGCCCTGACTGTAGCCCTTGTGGGTAAGTTTCATTTTGAACTTAAGATACTTTATTGTTTCTTAAAGGATTTCTGTGTAAAAGGTTATTTTAAAACCTCCTAAAATTAATTAAACAATGAAAAATATTATAAAAGGATATTCTGTTTCTTTTCAGCGAGTCAACAGATGAATCTTGGTAAGTAAAGCCCTTTGACATTTTGGTGGTGTAACTTTACATTTATTGCATCCTTGCGGACTAAATTAAATACTCTACCCATTGCAGTTCCTGAATTTGCCCATGATAAAACCTATGTGTACAAGTATGAGGCTCTGCTTTTGGGAGGTCTTCCTCAAGAAGGTCTGGCCAGAGCAGGTATTAAAGTCAGCAGCAAGGTTCACCTAAGTGCCATGACAGAGAATACCTACCTGATGAAGGTAATGAACTGAGGAAATTGTAGGTCTTCCAAATTGAAGGAAAGCTTTTTTTAAATGCTAATATCCCCTTACAGCTTATGGATCCTCTACTCTACGAGT